TATGATAGAGACCACCAAAAATGTTAAAAAGAAACACTGTGAGAAATATCAAAGTCATTGAAGGAGCAGATAAGTAAATGGAAACAATTTGTGAAGATGTGAATTGTGAAGAATGTGAAGATTAAACGTTGTTACAGTAAGGAAAGAGTTAATATAATATTAAAAGAAGGGGGCATAGAAAGTTACGCTAAATTGAAAACATTGGAAATGATAAGAAACCTCAGATAAACTTAGAAAGAGTAGTAAGCGAATGTTTGTAATAAATGATATTGAATAATGTTTATATTGTGAAGAACAAAATGTATAGATGCAAATGGAAAAGAAAGGTACTGGTCAAGTAGTGATAAGAAAATAATAAATTGTAAGAAGAAGAATGGAAAATAATTGTCGGTATGTGGAAGTGAAGTTACAATTTAAAGAGTTCTGACTATTGAAGCATTTGGGGCCAGTACTAATGCCTCTGACATTTTCTAGATCTTCATACAGATCTAAACGGATTAAATTTTTGTCTTGAATATTATGAATCAGAGATACACCGCCTAGAATGTTTATATTATGTTTATTGACTTTAAGATGATAAGAGAAACCGAAAGTATTGTTAAGAGTGTTTTGCTTATCTGGTGAATAATATTAGTTCAATATAGGAAGCATCACAGTCTATACACACTACTTTGGTTCATATAGGGAATTGTATCTTTGGTATTGGTTAAACTTTTATTGAGGGTATTATTGACTTTAAGAAATATGGTTATTATCATTAGAGCTCAAGGATGTGTTTGTTAAAGAGTTAGATCTAAAGGCTGATTGTTTGGGTTATAGCCATTGTTGATTGCTATTTGTTTAATTATATTCAATTCCTTATTAAATTTAAGTGGGGTGAATGGTGTGGTATGCGATCTGTGAATAAAACTTCTAAAAGCAGAATTTTTATGTAAAAGTGAATTGATGTAGAATGAATAACATGTTTTCTTTGGGTGGACTTCCGGTAAATAAACCAAAATTGAACTGGTTCTTGAGACTGGTAATAGATAAATCTAGAATATTTATGGCATTGCAAAATTTTAGTTCTTAAGTCAATTTAATCTTTGTGTGAATTTGGTTAATTTTACACTGTAAGTGATGAGCTAAGTCATGATTACCTGACATGAAGACAAAACAGTCATCAACATATCGGAACCAACGTAATATTTCAAGATTTTTCATGATGTAATTGAATTCTAGATGATCTATAAAGACATCAGCTAGGAGAGGGGATAAGCAACTGCCCATTGCTAGACCATCTGGTTGTTTGTAGAAATGATTGTTTATAGACAAATTTGGTGGATATCTCTTATAGGTGAAACTGTATGGCGCTAAATTAATTTGTTAATTTAGAGTGATTTTACCAGACCAATTATATCGTTTTTTTGCACCTAGGTGAATAAGTTGCTAACATTAAAAGAAAGCATTGTAATTTCAGGATGTAGATTAATAAACTTAAGTTGATTAACCAATTGCCAAGAGTTTAGTACTAAGAATTATGGAGTGAAGTTATACTATATTTAGTTGTGGAATACATTTATGCTAAACTAGTTATGGTATTAGTTTACTTTTAGAAGACTTAACAGAGAGGTTTTCCTTTACAGACTAATTCTCTAATTCTTATAATGTATTACCGGTATTGGGCAGAACATGCTCAGACTATTGAAGGCTAACAATGACGGAAATGGATAATTGTAAAAATATTTAGACGTCAAACCACTATGTCTTGACCTGTAATATACCTCTTTTGACAATGAAATATAGTCAAATTTATTTTTCGTATTTTCTTTTATAAAAAACAACCTATTGCATTTAGGTAATAAATATTTTAAAGCAAATAATTAATTGTGTTTACTAGTCTTGACCATTTTCTTGTGCTTAATTTCTTGTCGACTCTTAAACTGTCTTTATTACGTAATAAAAAAATTTAGATATAAAAGAATCGCCTCTTTTATGTCTAAAATGCAAATCCACTCATAGATTACCAAAACGAATAATGTTGAAACATTGTTAAACATTATATTAACTGCTTAATTATGTAATAGGCAGCCGTCAAAAAAACAGAAATATAAATGTAAGATGGTACTTGAATTTGCAATTCGTAATATCATTAACATATTTTGATGCACTGTCAAATTTTCAATATTATGAATAGGTTATATAAATGTGTGTAAAGATTTATTGCACATTGATAATTTATTTATTAAATTTAAAATAGATATAAAAATATGTATAAAAGGATAAACGTCAGAATTAAAAATGGCAAGAGCAACAAATAAATTTAGGAAAACAAAGACTTCAGACAAACCGCTTAAACTCTATTCAAGATATGTTTTTACCTAATAATGGAGATGTCAAGTAAATCTTTTATAATTACAATAGCTGAGTCATTTAAAATATTATACATTCAATTGACTAGTATGTGGTTAAAGATCTTAATAAAGTCTACACAAATAATATGATGTCTTGACTATGTCTTCTCTCCTCTCTACTAGTCGTGTTACTGTGATCATTGTTGTCAATTATACAGAGTTCAGTTGTGAAACATTCCTACCTTTTTAATTTTTTTCTGAAAAATAAACAATTTTAGTAAGAGCTCACAAAACCTAACTGGTTTAATATGGATAACATGGATGATATGACATCTACATAATCTCCACCTGTGGGTAGATGTATTTGTACATGTTTGTATGTGTACAATATGGGTTGTTTGTCTTACTTGTGTAAAATGTTCTGTTCGAAATTATTTGTGAATACATCTGCTAATAATAAAGATAAGGATAAGAGCATGAGTAATCTGAAATTTTGCCTATAGAAATCATTATCTAGTTAGAAAAGATTTGTCTGTGCAGTGCCAATTGCTCTATGATAGTTTTTGTTGTCAATGTACAAACTCCCTCTAGTTTGTTTTTTTAAAGTAAAACTTATGTTTATACTCTATATATTTATTTTGTACTCCAATAGTACATTGGTGATCAGACTCATAATATCAAAACTGACTAGAATATTGTTAAAATTTTAATCCATTTCTGCTGGTGTTTTTAATGAAAGATAATGTCTTGTGTGCTAGAACAGCATAAGCAAATAGAGCTTATGCTGCTGCAAAATAAGCCTGGTCTGTGAGCTACATTTTCTTTGTGTATTTTTGCAACTCCGTATAGATGTGGTACTATAACACATACGAACGAAAAAGTACAAAGATGGGCAGAATATATCGACGAATTGTTCGATGGTGAAAGAGGAGATCTGGAGCTTACATCAGAAGAAATAGGAATGAGAAGCCCATTGATGTTTTAGTGACACTCTAGAACCAAATTTATAGTTTAGGCCTATTACTCAAAAAGTGGTTAAAATTTATTTTTATTTGTCTCCCTAAAAATATAAATGCAAGAGAATGCAAGGATTACCGCACCATTAGCTTGATGTCTCATATGGTAAATTGAAAAAGACTGTAAGACTTGTACACACTTCTAAATAGGTCTAACTGGTAAGCTGGTTTTGTATGTTTTCAATAAAATTGATAGTGTGTAAAATAATTTAATGATTAAGTTAAGTATACTTTCGACAGAATAAATGTCATCATCAGAGCTATCCTAAAATAACGTTAAGTAAAGTAAATTTTTTATATAAAATACAATGATAGAAAAAACTTACGTCAATTAGGCAATAAATACTTCATAGAAGGACAATTGTGCACAAACGACATATTAAAATTCAAAGATCGGGCTCTGTAGGCCACAGATCTTGGGTCTAACCCTTATACATATGTATAATTCACATTTAAAAAGTTTTTATAAAAACATGGTTACCACATACAGTAACGACAACAGCTGTCTTTGACTTACATTTTTGAAGTAAGATGAAAATGAAATAGGAAGCTCGGATATACGGAAATAAATCCTAGAGCGACCTCTGTATTTAAATTATTAATTAAAAATTGAAAATGTCTAAAATGACGTCTGAAGGTTATTGATTATTAATTTTAGCTACTGTAGAATTTTAAATTTAAATATTTTAAATTGATTAGTTAACGTGAAGATTTAAATATACATTTATCAAAATTATCAAAAAACAAAACTTTAAAGTTTGACCAAATAGAAGAAAGTAGATGAAAACCAACCAAGGAGAAGTATCATTTGCTAAGTTAAGAGTTCAACAGCTATTATTGATTATCGATATTATTAATAAAATAAATAATGAAAAAGAAAATATCAAACATTCTCTATGTAGATGAAATCAATGAAAGAAAGTATAAGAAATTATCTCTTTTAAATCTCTTTTTTAAAAATAAATGTCAAAGCTTGATCAAATGATGGTTAATTTTATACTAAGTGTATTATTAAAGAAACTTCTTAAAGATTGGATCAAACTTACAATTGAAGTTAATTTGAGTGTTGACACAATTCTGAGGATTCCTTTTCATTTCTCTACTGATTTCAAGATCTTCTAGTAAATTCATTTTTATATAATTATTATTGGGTATACTGTGTAGGATCTTACTATCTCTATGAGGACTAAAGCCATGCTTTGAAGCATGTATATGATTCCCAAAACTAGATTTATCAATCTTAGACAGATGTTCTTTGATGCGTATATCCAAAGGTCGCATTGTTCTACTCACATAGGTCACCGGGCATTCACCACAGGATAATTTCAACCTATGTGGGTAGAACAATGCGACCTTTGGATATACGGCGTTGGTGCTTTCGCTGACGTTCGCGTTACAACATGGTCAAATGGAAATCTCGTATGTCCATTTATAAACATCGTTCGCCGTTGGCGTCGGCGTTCGGTTCCGTTCAAGATGAACCAACTTTATCTTTTGCCGTTGGCCGTTGTAGCACAGAATACACAAACCCTTCTGTGGTTGTAGTCACGATCTCAGAACATAAAATAAAACTATCTTTGTCATCGCAGCCAATAGCAATATCGGAAAAGTGACAAAGTTTGTCAAACAAATCAAACAAAATTATTTGTTTATGTTTCCACGTATTTATAAAGTGGAAAACTTTAGATAATAACAAGCCTTTCTTCAACAGAAATTCCATCAGAGCGACAATTTACATTTATTTTTGGTTTTAGCATTTGCAGTAATTTTTCAAATACTGGAAACTGTATCCTGGACCCTGGTGTATTTAAAAAACTGCTGGGTATCCCAGTTTTTTATATTTTTATAATAATTAAAATTACCTCTTGTCTTTCTGTTCTGGTTAATGGGCCTCAGTTTGTATCGACGTTGTCTTTATTTTAGAAGACTCAGTGCTGCTCGAATACAAAGTATCAGTGCCACTGCACCTAACAAAGGCCGAGCATTTTCCATTGTATTAATTTTCAAGCAAAAATTTATAATACCAAATCAAAAATGTAAGGCAAGAAATTAAGATGTGATCTTTAACGCCAACGACAACCGAAAGTTTATAAATGCAGTGTATGATAGCTAGCGCCAAGGTCAACGGCGAACGCCAGCGCCAACGCCAACGTAAAGTTTATAAATCAGCCTTTAAAGTCATCCATAGCCGAATATATCACAAACTGGACACATACGTTAATTATACACAATTTGGTTTTTGCAAATGCCTGGGAAAGCGTGAAGCTCTTTTTTTACTTAATATACTGGTACAAAGATGCCTGGACGTGAATCAAGATATATACGCATGTTTTATTAGCTATAATAAAGCATTGGATAAAGTACGACATAAACAATTAATAAATGTCTTAAAATCAAAGAAGATTGACTACAACAACCTCAGGATCATATCAAATTAATACTATAAACAGCGAGCAGAAGTACGTGTTAACGAACAGCTGTCAGATGAAATTAAAATTACATGCGGAGTGAAAGCAAATTTCAATAAAATGAGAAGAGTGCTATGTACCAGGGATTTAAAACTGAAACTAAGAGTTAGGTTGGCGAGGTGCTATGTTTTTTCGACTTTATTTTATGGATTGAAATCTTAGACCTTGAATGCGACATCAATGAAAAAAGTGGAATCGTTCAAGCTGTGGGTGTACAGAATAATTCTGAAAATATCGTGGACACATCACAAACAAAGAGGTTCTGGGAAGGATGAATAAAGAAATGGAAATTTTAAGTAGAATAAAAACAAGAAAATTAAAATATTTCGGACATATTACAGGTGGAGAGAAATACACCTTGCTCCAACTGATTATGCAGGGAAAGATCCAAGGAAAGAGATGCATAGGGAGGCGTAGAATGTTATGGATGTGCAATTTGAGAGAGTAGTACATCAAATGAACTTTTCAGAGCAGCCGTCTCACAAGTCGGAATGGCTATGATGATTGCCGACCTCCGCCACGGAGATGGCACTTGGCATCAACGGAGATGGTTGAATTTGTGCATGGTTTAATATATTTTTTTTCTGGGAACTTTGTTCAGTCCTTTGGTTGCCTATCCCAAATCCAATCCCAAACATTTAGTTGCCTAAAGAAAACAACACTTGAATTTTTTTTGCACAAAGAGTCTTGATGGTTAATCGGCCAGGATTCTTGCTTAACAGTTTTAAAATTCACTGTATGTGTTTCGTTTCCTATTAATAAACGAACTGGTCGATTCTTTGCCCATTTTTTAAAGATAAAAAAGTCACTTGTTTTCAGCTCATAAACAATAAGCGCTCTTAAAGAACTACAAGTCCTTATAAACTGGGCTTATTCATGGGGTACAGAAATACTCATAGTAGACAGTCTTCTCTTCTTTCTGTTTAATCAGTGCATGCATTGTGTCTGCTTCGTTGTGTGTATGCCTCTTGAGTAAATATTTATGATGAGTTCTAACTACTGACGTGTTATAGACAGCCTAAATAAAATAAAAAAATGTTTGTTTTGGCCAGAGCAGTTGTCTGACCAAAATGTTACCTCTTCTGTTGTAGAAGGTATATGTTTAAACCACATTATTACAGCGGAAGCTATCTCGTTGTCATCTCTTTCTGCAATAGACTCATCCAACATGAAGCATGAACCTTCGGCAGTACTATCATTATATACCGTAAAATTAAATGTCTATAGTTGCTTTAAATAAAACAATTTTGCATTAGTTATCGTAGGTGTCGGAAGGCATTTTTGCAAATCCATCATTGCTACGATTTCTTTTTAATTCTGCTTACATCTTATTTTATCCTGCCTTTTTAACTTGTATTTGTTTGTTGCGTCATTCAAATGATATGCCTCTGTCTTTAAAATATCTTCAACTATAATAACTCCATTAAGATGTGTCTGCTTTTGCTTATTTTTAAAACTATCACAGGTATTTATCACATGTGTCAATGTTAGGAGGCTTGAAATTAAGGTTGAACTCGGTAGAAAAAATTTCCCGGTACATACTTTTCTTTACGGCACGTTCTTTTGCCTACTCCTTCTTAACAATCCACTCTAAATATAATTTGTACATTATTGTTACGTTTAGTTTTGGATTTAAATATTCTCTTCCAGACGTATTGCGACAATAATGACTTTCAATTTTTTGAAAACAATTTGTGTGTTCCATAAATAATTGTTTCGCCTGTTCTGGAATTTGGTGGTTAAGTACACGGTGACTCTTAACCAACACAGCCCCATCATTAATTTTGTTTTTTTATTGAATTTCTGACTATTTTTTTAGAGATGGCAAGTGTAGTTAAAAAAAAAAATAACCAGCTCACCCTAGTTTTAGATCAGTTTAAGAGAAGAGTGTAAATGTAAGAATGCTGTCTTCAGTCATTTTGATTGTTATTTCTTGGACGTCTTCTGCTAACAGCCTTCTATAGTGCCAGTCTGTCTGGCTTTTTCACAAACTATTAAATATTTGCGTTCTAACAGTATCCTGTATATTAGTAGTACATTTAACCTACATAATCTATTGCTCGAGGGACCTACTTCTTTGCTTTTTTTTAATTTATTTTTAAAACTTACATCTTCCTCTCATTATTCTGTCTTCTCCTTTGATAGATTACATTTCCAAGTTGAAGGTTTCTGCTTTCTGTTTCTAGTTTTATTTACAACTGTTTCTGTTTTATCTTCCTCGTCACTTCAATACTGTTATCCATGTTTAGTATTTTGGATAGCACTTTTCTGTAATTATGTTCTTGAACAGAGATAATGGATGTATTTTATTTACCATCATCCCTGATACTGCTATGATTTGGTTAATATGTTATGTCATCCACAGAGTTGTCAGAATATCTATTACAAGTGAGTACATCAAATCTATTTTCACTTTCAATTTCTTAATCCACGGAGAAAGTTTCATTGGCAATGTCAGATTATCTACTACACCAAGGTTTAGCAAATACGTTATCACTCTCAGTTTCTTCATTTATTGAGAAATTTTTATTGGCACCGTCATTAAACATAACAGGCTTCAACTGACAGTAGGTTTTATTATTTTCATGAATAAAAACATGGTTTTGTTTTTTAGATAAATCAGATTCAGGCACATAAGTAGAGCAAACATCAGAAATGTCTGAAAAATATCAATGCTTTGAGTATTGTGATACTTCTTAAATAATTCTAATGAACATTCCAGGTTCAAAGTACACATCCAAAAGACAGTAGAGAAGTCGAACCGAAATCTGAAAGCGTTGATACGGTTGATGTCAAAAATTGAAGGCTCAGGAAGCACCAAATGAAAGGTGCTAAATGAAGTTTTCCAGTCAGTAGTAACCTACGCTGCCCCTGTGTGGTGCAGAATACTAAAAACTGCGAAATACGCTAAGCTAATGGAGACTTCGTAAAGGCGAATGCTCCTCAGGTTGTCTAGTGCATATAGGATAGTCTCGAATGAGGCTATATATGTCATTGGAGCGGTGATACCGATCGTTTTGTTATGTAAAGAGCGAGCGAGGATGTATGCGAGGATGGATGTAAATATACATGAGAATAAGAGAGAAAGGACGATAGTAGAGTGGCAGAGATAATGGGCGAATGATAGTGGAAAGGTAAGGTGAACGAAGAAGCTTATTCCCGATCTAAGACCGTGGTGGGAATGTAAGTTCAGGAAACTAGACTACTTCCTGATGCAGTTTCTAACCGGACATGGTAGTTTTGGCACCCTCACAAATAGAATAGGCAAATCTGCCTCGGCAGACTGTACTGTATGTGTGTTACCGGATGCTTCCGTTCACATTTTTAACTGCCAGAGATGGGCAAATGAGATGGAAGATTTCGACAGGCGAATGGGTTTCGGGCTGGATGAAAGAAACATTGTAAACAGAGAAGTACACTGTCTGATTTCTGATGTGATGAAGAAAAAGTAGCAGGAGGACAGAGGAGAAAATTAAGCCAGGGATCTAAAAATTTATAGTTAATATTATTTATTAACTTATGGCCTAACGTCTAAACTTTTTCTGATTTACAGTAATAGGTATGGTTATATATAAATTTTTGGTATTTTATTTTAGTAATTTATTGATTTATTGAGTGGCAACAACTATTTAGCCAGAACACGGTTAATCCAGCACTACCCTAAGGTCTTCTCGCTTCGTATCCCACTCGGCCGAAAGATACCAAAGTGTCTTGTTCCGTGACTTGCCGAAAAATAGCTCTTGTTATTAAGCATTGAAAAGTGGGATAAATTCTGCAAGATATTACTCTTCACAACAACTGTACCTAATTTAAGTTAGTAATGTGTAGATAAGATAGGTATACCATTTTGAAGATTTTTACAGTACACAGAAAAAGTTTACTTACCTTCATTATTTTCTTGTAAACACATTGTAACCATCTTCATTACCTACTGTTTATTCAGACATTTCTGGTTATTTTTTATTATCACATTAATCTTGATATAGAAAAAAGTTACTTTTATCTATGTGTATGTGTGTGTTTTCTTGGCACTGGTTTTGACAACCAACTGGCCAGTCGATTTGGCTTTTATCTATAAACCATGCAAGAACATTAGCTTCTAACCACAATTTTTACACAGCTGTCAGGCGGTTGTCCATAGAGATTGGACTGCCATATTTTTAGGAATCATTGTGCCATGCAAAAAACACCGATGTACCACATACAGCTTTTTGCAATAAATATTATGGTGGACATCAATCTTGCAATTTAAGTAGTATTATCTGTACAATTATCTATTAAATACCTTTCGAAAAATAATAACTTTAAGTGTATTATTGGCTGCCTAACTCCATTTACTGTAAAAATGGACTTTCGCCCTTTCAATTCTAATAAACAGATTTACAAACGGATTTCTCAGAATTATTAAAAACTTTTCCCATTCCAAAAACGTATTAAAAGCTTCTCCATGGGTTACAATCTAACCATATTATTAAACAATGAAAATAGGAAGAAACCTTTAAATACACAGTTAGCTATGTATTATGATCAACCAATAGTAAGAATAGGGTTCTTTAAATTTAGGTTGTAGGAATGGTTATTCTTGTTCTCATAATGGCAAACAAATTTAAAAAGAAAGAATTCTTATAGAGTTTATATAACTCTAATTAAATGAATGTTTCAGTTTGATTTTCAACTGTTTATCCACTTTTACTGTTTTAGCTGCTGCTTGGATTGTTTGTGTTCTGCTTTGGAGGACAGTTAGACGATTCCAAAAATGCACGTATACTGAAGTTTGATTACGACGACTCAGGCAAAGGACCATACCGATTTGGGTAAGAACTTTTCTAAAACTAATCCAAAAAATTGTGATTTTGTTTTGAAATAAACTGCATATTTCATATTATTTACATACCTAAAAAGTCAATGCTTAACATTATGCGTCTACAGCTATTTTGAATATATTATTTCGGAAATAATATAAAAAAAAATAGATATTTCGGAAGAAGCAGTTAATGGACGACATACGGGGTATCCACAAATGCAGTTCACAAATGAAAACTAAAAATCATGGAATTTTAAAACGGTTTTCTTTTCAATAATAGGATTCTGTATATTTATTTAATGGAATGCACTAAATTCTTTGGTGTAAATGAATTTTTTAGTTAATAATGCACATATTTCCACTAACTATTAAATTCACATTTTAATTGTGAAATATATCTTCTTCATATTTTTTTATTATTATACAAGGAAGAATAATGTTATCATGTAGCTTTTGTTGACTTTGATTTCCATACCTAAACATTTTGTCTCCGTTCCTAAAATGCCTCGAATATAAATTTTAAATTAAGTAAGCAACATTTTTGCTCTGTTTAAGTCTGTGTATTACTTTACAGTACTCAGTGGATTCTTAAGATGTTGAGTAGAGCTCTGATATATATTATATTTTACTTCGTTTCTTCCTTTGAGTCACAACTGTAAATAGATATTTTAAAAGTACCATATTGCAGGCACTTTTAAAATATCTATTTACAGTTGTAACTCAACTAGTGTACCTCACTATAGAAGCATTAGCGACAGCTATAGTAATCACATACTTTTTTGTTTCCTGTTTCGTAAATAAAACTAATATTATATGCTTAATTTAAATCTACAGGAATCTTTTGGCTTTCACTATTCACAATTCCTTTTTATTTCATTTTTACTTATTAACTGTACCCCTCTTCGTTACTAATGTTAACTTCATTAAGCTCCCCCAAAGATTCTTTCATGTTTTCTCTTCACATTTGCTTACTTCTTGTTCTAAATAAGATCTTTATTTCCTATTACTTTCCTTTCTTTTAGTAAATTTTTGATAAATTTTAAGGCTTGAGCTACTATACTGCCTCCTAGTTACTTCTCTACATTTTCACATTCTCGTTCACTGTTATCGTTTTTTTGGGAACTAATTCTTGTGGTTTTTTGGTTCAGTGATACAAAGGCTTTTCTGCTTTTCTAGATTTTTTGTTTTTAACTAAGACATATGCCTTTTTCTTTCAATACGCTGTTTCCTTTACCTCATCTAGAGGTAGCTTAAAGCCTCCCTTTGTGCTGCTTGATGTATGCATGTTTTTCTTAACTGGTTCATGTCTTTACCGGTTTCTCCTTTATCTAGGGTTTATAGCTTTGCAGCTGGCCCGCTTTTATAGAAATTACAGCATTTAATTTCAAAATACATTTTACAATAATTTTAGGGAGCACATTTAGGTAAGAGATGGGTTTGTAGTAGTCCAGTGAAATCAGATCTCCTATTTGGAGTAACTGCTACTATTTTAAAATTACTTCTTCTTCTTCTTTTGGCATCATAACCCTGGATGGGTTTTTGCCTGTCTGGCTATGTCCTTCCATTCAGATCTCTCTTGTGCCCTTTATCTCCATTGTCTTATGTTCATTGTTTGCAGGTCGTCTTCCACGTCATCCAACCATCTCGTTCTGGGCGTTCCTTTTTTTCGCCTTCCTATGGGCTTTCATTGTAACATTTTCTATGTTAATAATTGATGGATTCGACCGTTACTTGATGGAAATTCATTTTATGTAACAATAAAACACTGAAAACTTTGTTTTCAAACTTCCACAAAATTTATTTTAACTATAATTACTACAGCTGTTTCGGCTGATTGCCTTTCTCAAATGATCTATTTTTGGCACGCGTTTACAATTTATAGTCTCTATTGAAATAGTTTGAGGAGGGTAAAACTGTTTGTCTCAAGATGGTCATTCAGAATTATATCTGTGTTTTTCAATTTGTTGATTTCCATCGATTCTAACAAAGATAGTTTAAGGCCTTTATTTTGAATGTTAAGAATTTTAAATTTGTCATTAAAAAAATGATTATGATCTAGAAGGTGAAGTGCGTATGTCGAATCTGTTTTTCTGTTATTGAAAGCCCTTTTATGTTCTGCTATTCGTTTATTAAAGTTTCTACCAGTTTGACCGATGTAACGTTTTGGGCAGTCGCCACATTGAACTTTGCACACACCTATTTAAGTGTTTTTTAATATGGCTCTTGTTATTTTTAATATATTTGCCTAGGTTGTTATTTGTTCGGAAAGCTGGTGTTATTCCTTTCTTTTTTATGAGTTTGGCTATTTTTGTTGTTATTTTGCCTGTATATGTAATCGAGCAGAAGGCACTGGGTTTTTTCTCTGGTGGTGAAAATACTATTTTCAGGGCTTTCTTGTGTAGTTTTTGATTTAACATTTTGTTAATTGTTTGTTCGTTGTTTACTGTTATTTGCTTAATTATATTTAATTCTATCTCAAAGTTGTATTTCGACATCGGAATTTCTGTTAATCTATGTAACATACTATGATAAGCTGCCAGTTCATGTTGTGTTGGACGGGATGATGAATTGTGTATAGTCGTGTCAGTATGTGTAGGTTTATGAAATATGGAGAAGTCATGTTTGTTTTAAAGTTTGCTAAATCTAAAAAATGTATGGATTGATTTTGTTCTGTTTCTATTGTAAATTCAATATGACTATGAAGTGAATTAATATACGATAAAAATTGGTAGAGTTGCCTGTTAGTTCCTGTGAAACATACCAGTACGTCGTCTACGTATATCCACCAATATAAAAACTGTTTGAATACGGGATGTTGTGAAATCTTTGTCTATAGATTTTTCTTTATATTGGTGGAGATACGTAGACGACATACTGGTATGTTTCACAGGAACTAACAGGCAACTCGACCAATTTTTATCGTATATTAGTTCACTTCATAATCATATTGAATTTAGAATAGAAACAGAACAAAATCAATCCATAAATTTTTTAAATTTAAAAATTAGCAAACTTCAAAACAAACATGACTTCTCCATATTTCATAAACCTACCCATACTGACACGACTATACACAATTCATCATCCCATCCAACACAACATAAACTCGCAGCTTATCATAGTATGTTACATAGATTAACAGAAATGCCGATGTCAAAATACAACTTTGAGACAGAATTAAATATAATTAAGCAAATAGCAGTAAACAACGGATACAACGAACAAGCAATTAATAAAAAAAATGGTAAATCAAAAACTACACAAGAAAGCCCTGAAATTAGTTTTTCCACCACCAGAGAAAAAACCCAGTACCTTCTGCTCGATTACATATACAGGCAAAATAGCAACAAAAATTGCCAAACACATAAAAAACAAAGGAATAACACCAGCTTTCCGAACAAATAACAACCTAGGCAAATATATTAAAAATAACAAGAGCCAAACTAAAAAACACTTAAATAGTGATGTGTACAAACTTCATTGTGGTGACTGCCCAAAAACTTACATCGGTCAAACTGGTAGAAACTTTGATAAACGAATAGCAGAACATAAAAGGGCTTTCAAGAATAGAAAAACAGATTCGACAGACGCAGTTCACCTTCTAGATCATAATCATTCTTTTAATGACAAATTTAAAATTCTTTACATTCAAAATAAAGGTCTTAAGCTATCTTTGTTAGAATCTATAGAAATCAACCAATTAAAAAACACAGATATAATTCTGAATGACCAACTTGAGACAAACAGTTCTCCCCTCCTCAACCTATTTCATTGGAGACTATAAATTTGTAAACCCAAGCCAAAAATAGATCACTTGACAAAGGCAATCAGCCGAAACAGCTGTAGTGATTTAAAAGATTTAAAATAAATTTTGTGGAAGTTTGAAAACAAAGTTTTCAGTGTTTTATTGTTACATAAAATGAATTTCCATCAAGTAACGGTCGAATCCATCAATTATTTTACTTACTTTTTTATTTCAACAAGATGTCGAAAAAATTTAAATCATCTACCTTATGGACTCATTACTAAATATTAAAATCCACGTTTTCCGTTGGGAATAATATCAAATTCATTTTAGTAATTGTAAATAAAAGCAAGATCAATACTTGTCCAAAACCAGAAATCAGGGATCAGAATTAATGTCAGAAATAACTTCATATGAAATCAGAACGGCACTTTTGGAAATGAAAAATAACAAATTCTTTGACCATGACGGAGGAGTGATCGCAGCGATTTAACTAGATGGAAATAAAATTAGATAGGCTATGACCAAGCTTTTACCGAATGCATCCACCAAGGCAAAACTCCTTCTCAATGGAACAATGCAGTCATTATTTTATTACACAAGCAAGGACACATAACAGATCTAAAGAACTACCTTCCTATCAGCTTGCTTTCACGCATACGGATTTAGACCGGGAAACAGCAATAATGATCACTCACTAGTGATAAAGAACCTGATAGAGAAGTCTGCAGAATACAACAAACCATTGGCACTGATATTTGTCGACTACGAGAGAGCATTCGATAAGACAAGCCTTCAAAATATTTTAAAATCAGTGACAAAATGCCAAATAGACCATCGCTACACTAACATAATCAAATATAACTACCAAAATGCTACAGCTAGCGTAGACCATCTGAAAAAGTAACAAATAAATTTTGTATACACTAAGGAGGACGACCAGGAGACACCGTGTCTCCAAATATATTCAAACAAGCAAAATGCTTATTCAATGTCGATTAATGCCTCTATTGGAGGTTATCACTCCATCTTTTGCGTGGTCGCCTGATACTTCTTCTACCTTTTGGTGACTTGTCCCTCGCTATTCTGACTAATCGGGTCTCTTCCATTCTGTTTATGTGTTCGTTCCATTCCTTTTTTCTGTTCACTGTCCACTCATTTATTTCTGGTATATTGCATTTTCTTCTGATCTCTTCACTCCTCATTCGATCCCTCAGTGTGTTTTCTGTAAGTCTCCTCAGTAAACGCATCTCCGCTGTTTCTAG